AAACGCGATGGAAGCCGCTCGATGATGGACGAGCTACCGCCAAGGCAAAGTACTCGATGATCCATTGGAGATACTTCCTCCGTGATAGGCCCAGGCGCTGAGAGGTAATATGACTCATTCGCGCTAATAGGGATGACAAGTGTATGTGAAACGCAAAGGGCTTGTTCCTGCGTGGTGCTGTCTCCGGAGTGGTGCGGCTTATTAATTATGGAATTTGGGGTGGTGAAGACGCAATGATTATAGAGTAGAAAAGGGGAAACAAGACAGAGGAAATGAGATAGCAGACTGAGAAATCTTTTCTCGGGCCTATACATGTCAAGCTGCGTTATAAGACACCTTGAAAGCCGTATCAAAGTTCCTCCTGACCAACCACAAATCTTTGCTACAAGCTGAATCTTGATGCGAAGTCATCTGAATTCTCTATAGCCTACTTTATGTTGGGAGTTATCGAAGTGTGTACTTCTGGTATGGGGCCATGTTCCAGTATGCGTGCTGAGCTCAATATCTGTGGCGGCCGTGAATCTGCGACACGGAAATAGCACATCTACTGCCTATATCCCACAGCTGCGGCACTGAAATTGGACAGTCCATATAGCATTATAAGTATCTCTAACTCTATTGCAATGCTTGAGAAACCCAGCAACGCAACAAGCAAGCGATAGCTTACAGCTCTTTTGATTGGACAGCACATTCTTATTTTCATTCATTCATCGTGACATGCTATGCGAGCATGGCTACTGACACAGAAGCCAGCATGACAACTGTGAGAGCTTCTTTCCATACTTTATCGATGTCTGTTCACAATGGAAATCTCACTAATTAAGCAGTCAATTCCTAATTGTCGAGAAATTACGCTAGACAAGAAGAGGAGTCGAAACGCTATCAAACTACTCTGGAAACAAGAATTTATGATGATTCGCTTGCCTATCAGAGACTGCAAGCGTATTGTCTAAAGATAGAACGGCCAATGGCAGGAATACAGTACCAAAAGTCGCAGGTAGACTTCTAAGCTCACACTGCCGAGACCTGTCGAACATTGGCATACGACCTTTCTACCGAGAGAACAAAGACACGGAATCTGGCCTTCAACTCCAGTACTAATACCTCTGCAATTGATGCTTCGTTAATGATTTCGCTACTCAAATTGCCCACAACTGAGTCCGCCCATTCGGTTGATGTTGAGCATTTGGTCGCTCAGGAACCCAGCAGCAGAAAAATTTGATTCAGAAACTGCAAAACGAAGCGAAAGCTCGAGAGGATGCTATCGATCAGTTGAAAGAGACTTTGAAACATACAGAGGAAGAGCTGTACGTTGCCAATTGTTTGCAACAACTCGGATCAAAGGATGTGGAACCAATGGAAGAGATCGACAGCCCATTACTCAGCCCAGTCCTCTGTCGATATAGTAACTTAAGAGCCAAGTGTTTTGTCCGGTGATGGCCACGTCAATCTTTCTCTGATAACTATAAATAATCTTAAAAAGTCCACGAATCTTTCGGGTGTCTTGAATAGAGGCGTAACCAGAGTTTTATCAGGCGCATCGCGCATCGACTTGTTGCTTACGATGAGAAGCATATGTCTGTGCGCTACTCACAAGATCTAGATTTGTCGTGGTTCCGGAGATAATCATCCTCTCAAATTTAACTTGAATGGCCCGCTTCTGGCTAGGAGTTCCAGCGTACACGTTGAGAGAAACATGAATTGCAGATTTGCCATGCTGCCTGGAATTCAGTATTTGTGCGATCCATTTCTACCGTTTCGCAATTCTAGCCTTGCCGAAGATAAGAGGTCCCGGGATGGCTTCACCAATGTTCTAGCGTGGCACCTATTCCTGCGATTACGCGCAGGACTCCCGGCCTTATTATGAGTTTCCGAAATTGAACCTACAGTCCCTGTAATCCCATCCCTAGCTGCAGCTCGGCAGGAAAATGGAATGTGGGACCCCTGGAACCGCGCTTAAATAGAAATCATACGTTCTTTTGTAAGAGTGTTCCAACATTTTCTTAATGAGTGGCATTGATTCCAATTTGCTGAAAACATGGGCTGTAGGCAGCAAGGTAACAGGGGTTGGGTCACCTCAGGTTAGGTAGACATGCTTCTGACAGTGCAGAAATACGTCCAGTAGAGGTCAAAGGACGATCCCGCAATATGCGCTAATGCGACACTAGTTCTAAAGGTCTGCTCTTGTTCCAAGCGCTTTTCTGCGGCACGGGTTCTATACGCCTGCTGCGACATTGGTTCTGAGGTCGCATTCACCAAATAGAAGTAGAATGATGAGCGAGCTCTGGAGCCCTAGAGTTCGAGGTCTATTTAGAGAGCCTAACGCGCATGACAGTTGCCGGTAACGAGGCCATGATTTCAAGCCCGTACCTGCAGTGCCTACCATGTATTTACCTAAATACATTTCATGTCTTGTCGCTGTGGCTAGTGCTTGCCATTTCAGTGTTCCAGTGAAGGTATGATTTTATCAAATGTTAATAATCGCGCACTCAAAATTCGGCAGGTTTATGCTTCCCGCAGCTCCGTGGTTGCGGCAGTTACGCCTATAGGGACTTCGGTCACCGAGGGTCCACCTTCAAGGTTGTAAAAGACGTGCCCCGTTCACGATAATGAACGAGATTTAAGACTAGTCTAACCTCGATTAATCGCTAGTGGAATTTGGCTAGCCTCAAGCCGTATAGTACCCACGTCTCAGCTGGCCTCGAGCGCGAGCATGACTCACGACGTTCAAGCTCTAGGCACGACTTCACCATCCCGTTTACCAATAACTTTCCCTAAGCCCCACATCCTTAACGGAGATGGAGGCGAGCGGGCACTTCGCCATGACTCGAACTGATCCAATCAACCTCACAAGCAAGCCAACAGCCAACTCTGGGTCGAGAATTGTCAAAATTCCTGGATCCGTGTTTTCGTTCTTGGTCATTTGTCTTTTTTGACCGCAATTAAGAAACACCGGCTTATCTTCTTTGATAACCATGCTTACTCGTCCAGCAGATAAATCACTCTGCCCCTATGTATTCAGTGCTAGCTATAGTTATACTATCTATCATATGTATCTTATAATTGAAAGTATCGCGTTCATATTTCGATTCTCTAGTAGGCATAGACTACCAATAAAGTGTTGGCGGCTACTAGCGAGTTCAGTGGCGCCGCAGGTCTGCTTACCATCTTTTTCTGCCAAGTAAGTCTGCCGTAGTCATACCCCGCAATTATCGTCCAATTACTTTTGTTTGATGCACTATCCATCCGATGTATGTTTGTGCAACGCAATGCGCGCTCACGAGTGTAAGAGGGTCGGTCGGTGGAGGAAACCCAGAAAGCGGTACAAATAGCGGTTAATAAAAGGGTTATAGATTTTCGTGGCTTCAATGTAGCTCTAAAGCAGGAGGTAGTCGTAATATTACATTTAGGCTGGAATTCCGCCTTTCAGACCCTCTATGCATATGCTATATATCATATTACGTATTTATTGATGGTGAGCCGCACCAACCTTGGTATAAGTCGACTACCGAACACGAGAATAGTCCTTCAACGTCCAATGCTCATACAGATGTCATAATTACGTAGACTATTGGACAATTCTAATTCTATAAAGCTCATGAGGACTTTCACATACTGTCGCGAAACTTTTGGCTTTTATAAACTACAATCCAACACAAACATCACTGAATGGAATCAGAACTCAATACAAATTTTGAAAAAGTGATTGGGCATCATTTCCATGCCCGAGACTTGATAGAAGAGGCTTTGGAAGAGTCGGGACTAGCATCTGCAGGAAATGTGCGGCTAGCCTTGATAGGAGACAAAGTACTCGACCTTATGCTGCTTCAACGTTGGTATCGCGAAGGCAACACTACGGGTATGTTTATACCTTCCAGTACAGACGTTTAGCTGATATATAGGTACAGAGCAAGGAACAAGTATGCTCCAAGCTTACGCCTGCAACAAGCAGCTAGCCTCTAGGGCTAAAGTCTTGAATTTACAGAGATTTATCCACCAAAGACCAGACTTAGACAGGAATGTACCGGACAGCACATTAGCCACCACCGTGGAAGCTATTCTTGGTGCAGTTTGGCTTGATTCCAACGAAGACGTACAGCAGGTGGATGAAGTCATGGAGAAACTTGACCTATACCCACCTTCCGACCGCGTTTCTACCTAATATACTGAGTCCTCCGCATGTGAAGATTATTCTGTCTTCGAATTGATTCAGTATCTATCTAATGATAATTACTGATATGACAATGACCTTTCTTATGGCCCGCCGCATTGAGTCTCCAGTTCACTAAGTATCTCTCGATAGCATGCTGGAAAAGTCTGATGGCTAGTTATTATTTGACTTATTACTGTTTGTAATTGAATAGCTGATTGTTTATTGCCTGTTTCATGCCGAGTATGAGTATCTGAGGTTTGTAATGTTGGTAGAGTGCAATTAACCGCAGGAAAAGGAGACCTGGAAACCGAGGGCCCGCAGATGCTCATTGGAAACCTAATAGCAGAAGTTTTCACACTACAAGAATCGAAACTAAGCCATCTTTCCCTGGAATCGGGAGACCCTTGCAACAAGAGCTCGTGTTCGTTTAGCTCTCCTCTTTGAGGACATGCTTTTCCAGTGCTGGTAAAGAGCTACATCCTCAAGGCAGACCTTCGTCGGATGCAATCTATCGGTGGAATCCTCAGCAGCACCAGGCTCGTCGAAAGCAGCACCAGGCTCGTTGAAAGCGGCACCAGGCTCATCCGCAGCACCAGGCTCGTTGAAAGCAGCACCAGGCTCGTTGAAAGCAGCACCAGGCTCGTTGAAAGCGGCACCAGGCTCATCTGCAGCACCAGGCTCATCTGCAGCACTTGGAAAAGGGACAAAAGATTCCCCAATAGCGGGCATTCCATTAGTCCACGCTTCTGTCAACTGTCGCCCGCCAGCTATCCCGTCCAGTGGATTTCCAATCGATGCCTTCACCTCCGTGTTCCCATGAATGCGTATCTGTTCGCAGTCGCTCTTCCCGTCCTGCGAGGTGAACTCCCTGCGGACGGAGGAGTATCTCGAGCATCATTCTTGTCACAGTATTATCGAAGTAATGATCCTGACCAAAAGCCTTGTAAAGTTCATCCACATCGAACTTTGACTTGCTAGACCTCAACGAGTGCCGGAGGTTTCTTTCGATATACTTCGGAAGCCAGGTTTCGTCCTCAGGAAGGTTTGAAAAGACCTCACTTGTAGTCCGCAGTATATCGGATATAGACATTTCTTCGCCGAACCGTTCTATGTAATCTCGGGCAAGGGCCTCAAGAGAGGGAAGCTGGTATGTTCTGGATGCCTGGTAGATAAGGACACTTCTCCTATACTCTCTCATCGCACTGGATATACCATCATCGACTGGCGAATCTATTGTCTCGTAGCACCCTGAATATAGGAAATGCACAAAGGTATGCCCAACATCCTCGTGAATATAAGGCAGGGTAATATATGAAGACAAAACCGACTGCTGCTCAAATTGCGGGCATTTCCGAAGACAATATCCCAGAATGCAATATTGCTTGTTCCCGATCGTGGCGGTCACGACTGGGCCTTCGTATGGTCTATGAAAAGTTAGATAAAAAGTCGATTAAATGGACAACAGCACTTACGATGACAATGGCTGGACATAATCGACCTTTGGAGATACCTGGACAGACATCGGATTCAGGGGTTCCTCTTGGGCTCGACGCTGCTTAGTTTTCTTCTTGACCATTTTCGTCGGTCCTTGCAGTAAGGAGAGAAGGAAAAACCCGGGTCAATTTAAGGAAATATTCGAAGCAGCGGAATGTGTGCCATGGCTTCTTAGATTTTTGGGCGGCAAAAGAGGGAAAATGCCAGGATGCAGGTATGAGTTGTCCTGCATGCGTTAACCTATACGTACCATCATCGCCAAATTCTCCAGAAGTTGCGGCATGTTGTGATGTGTCCTTGCATTATCACAGCCATTGAAAGGTACAATCTTACCATTTACATGATTATGATTGATTACATTTGGCCAGTGCAGAAGCTTTTACTACTTATCCGCACCAGGACCGTGAGCCTCGTCTTCAGTATCGCGCTATATATTCCTGCAATCGGCCATATTGGCCAGCATCGAAACCTTGTACATTCCGGCATGACAATCAATGTGCCTAAAGCTGAAAGAGAAACTGTAGTGGCGATGCTGGCAGATTCAATTCTCAAAGAAGTCGTCTGCCTTGCTATAGATTGCATCATTTGGTACTGCGAATTCTGGTATTGGGAGCTATGGGAACCGTATCGTATGAGTGGTACTCTGTTCTCCTTTCTCCATCCCAGAGCCGTGTGGCAGGGACCAGATCCTTCGTGCGTGACGAAACCTAAGGACTGAAATAGGACGCTTCAATATCGCGTATTCCAAGAGTCGCAACGAAAAGTTCGATCTCCATATTCTCCACTTATTAATTTCACATTGAAAGATTTCGCACATTACCGATGGCGCCGAGAAGAGCTGATCCTAGTACCCAACGGCAAAACATAATTATCGTGAGGCCGTTTCACCATCTCGTTGCTGATTAATTTCATGATAACGAGGGACCCAAGGCATCCAAAAGAATCTAAGGTGCGAACTATCTCTGGGTCTTGGATAAGGTCGAAGACATGCCTCGATATAATGTCGGCAATCACTTCCCGAAGAGATAATTCATGTTGTGGTACTGACGTCATGACCTTTTGCACGACTTCGTTAAACATAGGAGAGCACCAGTTTTTGTCTGCCCATTGGGAGAGCTTTAGGGTAGCCAGAGCTTTCAAAGGAAGGATCGCATACTTATCAGCAGCGATAAACACTTCAATATTGTTGAAAGCAACTCGATTAGCTGGCTCTGAGATTTCTGGCTTATTTTCCGAAAGAGATGAACTAGAGTCATGATCACAGATGGCAAGCGTCGATATCGGTTGATGATATTGAAGAATGTGCCCATCCTCATTATAATCTCGGAGATAGAGAAAAGATAGAACACGTTCCATGGTCTCTGGAGTGTCGTCTTCAATATTGATAGCTCGATCGATGGATTCCTAAGAATAAAGTAAGCGACCAAAGATATCCTCCATTTCCAAATAAAAAATACCTTGAAGCCATCGCACATCGCGCTATAGAAATAGCTTGACTGAGTGCACACAATAGCTTTGTGAACTCTGAAAGTAATTCCTTGGCAAAGAATCTCCATGTCAGAGAATCGGCCTCGTAGAAGTAGGTCTTGCAGGACATCCTTGAGTTCAGACATGATTGCTATCGCGTCCACTGGCACTTGATCTCGCACGAGGAAGAGAGTTAAGATAGAAAACCGGACAAAATTAAATCTTCGCCCCAACATAAGTATTGCGGGGAAAATTATATCTGACGCGTAGACTGTCGAGTGATGAACATGCGGGGGTCCCATTAATGAGATCCTGTTCTTGGTATTCCAGTACGACAGAAAATACATTTGATTCTTAGTCGCTGTAATTGTAAAACAGGGATGATTGACAACGAAAGATTTTTGAAAGAATACATGTGGTATGATCACCATCTCATTCAAGGTCCACAGTAGCAGGAGGATAGTTGTGGACGTAGGTATGCGAAAGATAAATGATAGTAAAAGTAGAGAGGCAGCAAAGAGTTTAAAACAAAGCTTCGCGGAGGGCCTCAGACTGCTTCCCAAGTCTCATCCATCGATTCTTATTCTGTCGCAGAACATTGATTAGTACCGATAGAGCTAGCTCATTATAGACATCATACATACTGTGGGCGGTACAATATCTCGACCCACTCTCTGCCCAGCTCGTGCAGCCTTCTTTCACGCATTTGATAGCAGGGCTTGGCATTCTTGTGGATTTCAACCGAAAAGGATACAAAAAGAATCAACAGTTGATCGACACAGTGAATAAGGGATTGTGAAGAAGTGATTCGTGGTAAAATGAGCAACCTGCGGAAGTCAACCTCTTTTAACCTTTCGGTGACCAGAGTCAGGTGTCAGTTGCAACTTCTGATGTATCGTCTGCTTATGGTTTCTCGTGTGATTGTCACACAAATGAGGGGTGTAGCCTATCAAATCTTCTAGCTAAGCGCCATATGAGCTGCTCCGTATGCAATACTTGGACCAACGGAGACTTTTGACTATGATAAAGAAGAAGTAAGGACTTAAGTTTGGGTGACAGCGCTCCAGGTAAGAGCTCTAGGAGGTCTGCGCAGTCGCCACGTGTCAAATTAGCGGTGTGCTTAAGAATCAGGTTGTCCACAATAGACTCAAATTCAGGCGAGCCATGCCATAATGACTCATCACATAAATAGCAGACCCGCCCGAGTTTTCTAATTTCTGTGGTCTTGAGAGATACAAGGCAAATGATGATGTGGCTATGTGATATTCAAGATTGCAACAAACCCTCTGTTCGCATATACGGGGAATGTGCTCTGTGCAATCGTCATCTTTGTGCGAAACATCTGGAACCAAGTTACCATACCTGTCCGAGATGGGAGGTGAGTCCAAGACAACGGCATTCTAGGCCTTGCTGATTCTTGTGAATAGGAAGAGGCTGAATACGACCCCGCCGCCAGGAAAGCCGAACAGGATGAGATCACCAAACTTATTGATAAAATCAACATTCCTGCGCTCATTTCTCGAGCATCAGCTCTTCGGGGTGGCCTTACTTGCTCCATTTTGCAAGACCTTAGATATGACAGATCAACGCGAAGCTCAGTCATGGGAGGAATGAATTACCATATCGAGATATCATTCGATGATGGCATCAGTTGGCTGGCGCGTGTTCGAAGGTCCAACGCGACTTCGCCGCCAGCAGAGCTACGAGATTACATTCTGCGCAGCGAGGTTTCAACCCTACATTTTCTTGGTGAAACTCAAGTCCCAGTTCCGAAAGTTTTCGACTTCAATTTTTGTGAACCGAACCCTATTGGCGTTGGATATATCCTAATGGAGAAGCTGCCAGGAAGTTCCTTGCGCTGGTCTCTGGCCACTCCCGAGCAAAGGAAAAAGGTAGCAAGTCAACTTGCAGACATTTATATTGAGCTAAAGGCTCATCCTTTCGCTATGACGGGCTCTATGCACCATCCAGGCTCTTATGATCTTGGACCATTTGCTCGAGAGTCCTTGACTGACTTTCATGATTCCCAGATGAAAGCGCTAGGTCCTTTCTTCTCCATTGAACTATACTTTAGCGCACATATCCGATTAATTTTGGATCTTATCGTTCGACAGGAGTCGTATGTCGACCGGGCAGTCGATGCGTTTTTGATTCATCGTTTTCTCTTGGACAAGGTCCCGGAAGCTTGTTCTCAGAGACTTCTCGACGACGGGAAGTTCTACTTGAAGCATGCGGATGAGAAGGGGGACCAAATACTTGTTGACGAAGAATTTAATATTACTGGAATTATAGACTGGGAGTGGGCGTATACAGATTCAAAGTCAGGAGCATTCAACTCACCGATCGTCCTGCTCCCTGTTGCTGATTTCTACGCGGGTAAAACCTCCATTGGTGAAGACGAAACTTTTTTGCAGAGTGCTTTGAAGCAAAAGGGCATCCGGATCTCGGAAAGATTGTCAGGAATGGCCGGCTCATCCACAGATTTCGATTTTGCTGCGGTTACGACCTCGCAGATTGGGAGGGATTCCTTGGGCTCTTTGCCGGACTTTTGGGAGCCATGGGCATCACTAGTGATTTCCATTGGGAGACTTGGAAGGCAGAAGCATTGGAACACTACAAAAATGATCATCAACTCCAACAAGTGATCGAAATGTATAATTGAAACATGCTGGTCTCGCCAAAAGGTGACAAAAAAGGAACAAAATGTCAGTTTGAGAATCAAGATGGCTATTTTTCTTTAGTACCTTGCTCCATTTCAATTATATACCACGTTCGTTCAGACAAGAAACCTGCCGATCAGAACATTTCGACTCACACAGTTTTCAGGCAGTTGCCGAGCCAAAAGCAACGCATCGAGGAATGTGACCAGGAGACGGTCGAGTGACCTGCACGTCAGTTTGCCAGCAAGATGCCCGAACAAGTCTTCAGCCCAGCAGAGGTTCTAACATTTCTTCTGGAGCGCAAGAAGTCACCCTATGATGCTGTTTCTGCTGTGGAGAGCTGGGTGGCGGAAGCAAAGCATTGAAAGGAGAGAAGGAAAGGAAGAAGTAGGGGGTCGTTGCCAAGTGAAACGTGAAAAATATACGGAGAAGCTGGGAAAGTGAACAATCTCATTGGTCAAGGTTGCCGAGCGGTGGGCGCTTATCGCAATTTTTTCGATTAGTACACGACAGTCCATAATATCGGTGCTGAGGCTTCATAGTCGAATCAATCATTTCATATCATTCATAGCATCACATAAAGTCAAGTCCAAGAGCCAGAATTGGGTGATCGATTCGTCACTGTCAACACATATAGGATTGTATATCACCTGAGGCCAGTATATGCAGTGGAGAAGCGGGCATCAAGAATGATGATAAAAATAAATCCTGATTGATTCAGGCAGATGCGGCCGGAAATGCTGCATGCTTCATTATCATGCGTAATTGAATTGCTAATCCAATAAGATTGAGCACCCTTCACGTCACACGAAGACGTTTCGAACCAACTGTCTCTGGTTGACGGTGTCGTCGTTTTGAGGCTCGCGGCTGCTGCAAAGTCGGTCGACGTTTCAATGTGGAGCGGTGAAAGTCGATGATCATTGCCCGCCCAAGCTGTTCATTCCAAAGAACATTC